AGCAAATCAGAGAACTCTAGATGCTGGCGAGGATGTGGAGAAATGGGCACCCTCCTACACTGTTGGTGGGAATGTAAACTGGTGATCCCCTCTGGAAAACAGTGTGGAGGTTCCTCAAAAAAAATTAACAGTAGAACTCCCCTATGACCCAGCAATAACACTGCTAGGAATTTACCCAAGGGATACAGGAGTGCTGATGCATAGGAGCACATGTACCCCAATGTTCATAGCAGCACTCTCAACAATAGCCATTAAAAGAGCCTAAGTGTCCATCAGCTGACGAATGGATCAAGAAGATTCGGTTTATCTATATGATGAAATACTACATGGCAATGAGAAAGAATGAAATCTGGCCATGTGTAGCAACATGGATGAAATTCAAGGTTGTTATGCTGAGCGAAATAAGTCAGGCAGAGAAGGACAGATACCATATGTTTGCACGTATAGAAGGATTAGGAGGAACTTAACAGAGGATCATGGGGGAGAAGGGGAAAAATAGTTGGGGAGAGAGAGGGAGGCAAACCATGAGAGACTCTTGAATGCTGAGAACAAACTGAGGACTGATGGGTGTGGGGGGGGGGAGAAGGGGTGATGGGCATGGAGGAGGGCACTTGTGGGGGATGAGCACTGGGTGTTATATGGAAACCAACTTGGCAATAAACTATTTTTTTTTGTTTTATTTATTTTTGAGAGAGAGAGACAGCATGAGCAGGGGAGGGTCAGAGAGAGAGGGAGACACAGAATCCAAAGACAGTCTCCAGGCTCTGAACTAGCTGTTAGCACACAGCCCGACACGGGGCTCAAACCCACAAACCGTGAGATCATGACCTGAGCCGAAGTCGGAGGCTCAACCGATGAGCCACCCAGGTGCCCCGACAATAAACTATTAAAAAAAAAGAGAGAGATATAAGAAATGTACTTTTTCAACACTGGCACATTCTGATGTCCAAAGAAGTAAAAAATCTGGACTAAATTCTTTTTATCAGCTGGCATTTTGCTAGTTCTGCTCTATCTAGAGCACATGTCTTTTTGATTTTTTAAGTTAATTTATTTTGAGAGAGACAGACAGTGCAAGTGGAGGAGGGGCAGAGAGAGAGGGAGACAATCCCAAGAATGCTCCGTGTTGGCAGCGTGCCAGACAGAGGGCTTGAGCTCATGAAACCATGAGATCATGACCTGAACCCAAACCAAGAGTTGGACACTTAACTGAGTGAGCCACCCAGGCACCCCTGGAGAACATGTTCTTAACCTGTGGTCTAGATACAGAATTCCTATGGGAAAAAAATCTTTATTTTTTCACTCTAACTGACATTTATTATTTAATTATGAATGAAAGTAATCATAGTAATATTAGCAGTACTTAATACTTTGTCACCATTATAAATCAGAGATGTTTTCATATCACATTACAGTTTGTATATATTTCTCAATATGTTGTTTATATTCTCTACTGCTTCAAAGTGCAGTATTTTTTAGACTCCGTATTAGGTCTTGTTAATTGATGCCTTACTAAGGAAGATGGATTGATTAGGACATAATTTGGGATAAGGAGGCTAGAAAATGAGATCAAGAAGCATTTTCTATTTTATTTGTAATATCCCATTTCATAAGTTAGATAGTAATTTCATGAGGGTTTATTTTATTGTTATGTTTTATAACACCCTTATTATTCTGTGTTCTTCTGTATGCAAAAAATTTTATGTAACTTTTAAGTCTTTGTATAATATCTCTGTTAGATGCCAGTATTGACCACTCTACTCCCTCCTCCCCCCATTTTGAAAAATCCCTACCCACTCCCCTTGCTGAGTTGGTAGAGCAGCATGTGACCCCACACTGTGAGATAGTTTGTTGAACTAGAGGTAAACTCCTGACCTATGGAGTAATCCAAAGGTTTATGAGGCTGCTCAAAATCTTGAATTTTAAGGATGTGGCTTGAAAAGAAGAGCTGGATGGAGCTGCCTCTTGGTCAAAATCTTGAATTGAGACACAGAAGATTTCTCTTATTATAGATAATTGAACCTAAAGGCCTATACGTAGTATGGGATATAGTAAGAGGGACTCATTGGTTCGATCTAGTAGGCTAATGAATTCCTGAAACTATGTATGTGCAGAAGTTTATATGATCCTTCAGGGATGCTCATCTGAGGTCTCTGATCTAACATAGAGTAGGAAATAGCAGGGCACAGACCTATGAAGAACTTGAGTAGTTAAGTGAAAACAGAGCAAATAAAAGGGGGAAACAGAGAAGCTAGGAGGGACAGTGAAATAGTGGTGAATAGGCTTGTGCCCTTCTTAAGCCATCCTGTATGTTTTTGGGAGATTCTTAGGGGAAATCTGATCCTTTCAAAAGGAAGATCAGTTGAGATCTTTTCATTTCTTTGGACTAAAAGAGTCCTGTATATGGAAATATAGAAGTTATACCCTTAATGAAGTTTTAGTTTTCAAATTTGGAAGTTTTCTTTTCTTTTTTCTTTTTGGAAGTGTTTTTCAAGAGCAAATCAACTTACAGTTGTTCAAAAACTGTTCATTACTGTGAAGAATAGTTGGAATGGTTAATTCTTGGCAACTAATTAACACTTGAGCAAGAACTGAAGGGAGATTTGTTTTTTAAATTATACATATAGTACAGAGAAATCATCTAAGTCACTCTAGGCATATTGGGTGTATTGAAATGCTAGTGAGAATTCTTTTTTCTCATCAATCTTATTGGTTTGGAAAGCACTACTAGCCACCTTTCAAACTATGATGTGCTTGGCTATGCATTACTTTTGCAGTGATTTGTGGTTCCAAGGAAAACTTAATGATTCTGATAGCATGTACTCAAAAACCAAAACCAAAAATCAACAGACCACAACAAAAGTGTCCTTTTCAAGTTGCAAATCCCTGATTATTCAACCAGAATGAATTCTTTCAAGCCAAAATGGAACCATGTGCTAGCTTCTAAAATGTATTTCTTTACTGCACATACTGCTCATTTATTGTCCTGTTTTCTCAAATATTTTAACTGTTCATAAGGCAAGGAGACTAGAACTTACAAAAATCTTTAAAATACCTTTCTTATTGTGTAAAGACTATTGACTCTGTATTCTCCAACCAATATTTTTGAAGTTCCTTTCAATTTGTACACTTATATAACCATTCAGAGGAATTATTGTGCCACTCATAAAAAGTACTTTGTCTTATGATGTTTGGAGCATTTATTATTTAATACTTAAGGAGGAAGTCATTTTATTTCAAGTGGCAAAAGCTGCAAGAAAAGCATATGTGACAAACATGTGGCACCCCATTGTTATATAGGGTCGTTGTCAGTTAGCCCCATTGCATATCTCTCCTGAAGTTAAGGTAATCTAGTAGAAAACAAACCAGACAGGAATTTAAATACATTTTTTTTCTATCTTTTTCTTCTGAGTTTAGGCATTAACTCTCAAAGTGATTGTTATAGTGCTCTTTGAAAAGTTATTAATTGTGTACTTCACTGTCACATGGTTTGAGGTTAAACAAATGTGACTCTTCAAGTTTCAAGCAAAGAAATAATTTAAAAAATAGTATCTTTTAAATAGGTGTAAGTACTATTAAGAGCTTTATATCACACATGAATAACTCATTGTAAATAACATAGAAAGGACATATTTTATGGTTTGAAGTACATTTTCAATGTATATACATCTTCAGCTAAGCATGGTTTAATTTGATTTCCCTATCAATGAAAACATTCTTCTTTTGATATAATAGTTTAATGTTACACCTGTGATCTTGACTTCATTCAGATAATGTAGTTTTTGTATAATAACCTGTGAACTTCATGGGGCTTCATTGAAAAAGCAGCTCAAGGCATACAAGCCAGGTGAAAAGGGTGGTCAAATAATTCTAATCTGAAATAATATCATTGAAAAATTATCACACATGGGAAGCACAGTGACAAGGAGTATTGTCTGCATATTATGGGAATGACTTCCATTATTATAGGTTAGGGACAAAGGCATTATGAAAAATGTCAAAAGAATGCTCAGCACTGATTGCTGTTGCATCTTTAATAAAAAGCAAGAACTTGGGGTACCTGGGTGGCTCAGCTGGTTAGGCATCTGACTTCAGCTCAGGTCCTGATCTCGTGGTTCATGAGTTCAAGCTCTGCATCAGGCTCTGTGCTGACAGCTCAGAGCCTGGAGCCTGCTTTAGATTCTGTGTCTCTCTCTTTTTATCCCTAACCTACTCACACTCTGTCTCTCTCTCAAAAAAAAAAAAAAGTTAAACAATTTTTTAAAAAAATGTAAGAACTTCTAATACTTGACCATTAGAAAAGATTTCATAAATTGGGAATGATTTTTTTAATGGGAATTAACAAAGACAAACAAATGAGCAAAACATGAAGAAACAGAAACAGTTTTCATTAGAATTAAAAACTTGATGAAAAGTATGCTTGCGTGATGTTACATTTTGACTCTAGTGGCATATGTAGTTATTACATTTTAGGAATTGGAGAACACCTTTACATACAGTATTTAATAAAATGAAAGTGCATGTAATAGTTTTAAAGCAATACAACTTTTATTACTGGATATGTCTGTACTTATGAGCTGAATTAAGTTCCCTCCAAATTTATAAGTTAAAATCCTAATCTCTAGTATCTTAAAATATGACTTTCTTTGTAGGAGAATACCTTTAAAGAGATAATTAAGTTAAAATGAGACTTTAAAGGTAGGCTATAATCCAACTTGGCTGGTGTCCTTGTAAAAGATTAGCACATGTAAACAGAAACCAGGGATGTTTGTGCACAGAGTTATGCACAGAGAAAATAGATTATGTGTGAATGCAGCAAGAAGGCAGCCATCTGCCAGATGAGGACAGAGGCCCTCAGAAGAAACCAAATCTGCCCATGCCTTGATCTTGAACTTCCAGCTTCCATAACTATGAGAAATAAATTTCTGTTGTGTAAGCCACCCAGAGTGTGTGACATTCTGTTACGGCAGCCTTACTAAACTAATACATTCTGTCTTATTAAGATATTAGAAGAATCTGATCCTAAAATGGCTATTGTAAATTCTGAAGAAACAACTGCTCACCCGTGTCAGCTAGTTACTTGAATTGTTACACAAAATTACAAGAAAACTGAACATGAACTCAGATTCAAGTGTCCCCTAGAAAGGTATGAATAAATGAAGTTAATGTGTTGTCCCAGTCATCATATAAGTGGAAGCTTATATGTTTTTAAGAGAAATTCTGAGGTTAAATTATACATTTAATAATGCTTTGTGTTAATCCCATTGTTTTATAAATCTAAGAAGAGTAACAAGTTTATTTGACTTGAAAATTTTTAGATGCTACATTTGAAATGATTACAACATATTATACAGTTGGTTTGGAGGAATAAAACCTATTAGAGAATATTAAATGATAGCCTCTTTTGGAGTTCAAATTAGTAATCAGTTTCTTTCTTGCCCTCAGTTTGGCACTGAAGAATTTATTTTAAATGCATAAGAAGCCGCATTTTTTGGTCCCATCTTAATTTTAGATAGGAGTCTTTCATACAATTAATTTATCAGTTATTTTTGGTATTAAAGACACTTACATGACTACAGACCTCCAGTTTAATGGAAATGTCTTCTATTTTCCACCACAACAGTGATGTTTGATGTAGCTTTGCTAATCTAGGTTATGCCTGCTCCATCAGTCAAGGCGGCAGTTCAAATGGTTTAAATGGTACACTCAGTAAACCTCTTTGCTCTAGCTTCTCCACCTATTTTTTGATGTACGACTGTCAGTTAATGTTAAACATCAAACTTTCTCTATAAAACATCATTATGGATATCTTCTATCATAATACATTTATCCGGAAGGACTACTTAGAAGATGTACAAAAATATACCATTCCTATATGAGTAAAAATGATCTTTGATGAGCATTTGATAGAGGTTACTCTAATAATAGATACGAATTTTCAACTAATATATTTCTTATGATAGTCACTTTTTAATTAGGGCTGATCAGTGTATGAAGTATTTTGCTTCATTATTTTTCTTCCTAGCATTTGTTTGATCACATATTACTTGTAAGAAATGGTGGGCAAGACAGGCAACATATTTTCAAAGTTGAGAATAGTTCTGGTAAAGGATGAGTGCTTAGAGGTTTTTAACTATTTTTTTTTAAAGTTTTTTAATGTTTTATTTCTAGGAGAGAGAGAGAGAGACAGCGTGAGCAGGGGAGGGTCAGAGAGAGAGGGAGTCACAGACTGAAACAGGCTCCAGGCTCTGAGCTGGCAGTCAGCACAGAGCCCGACGCGGGGCTCGAACCCACGAACCGCGAGATCATGACCTAAGCAAAAGTCGTACACTTAACCGACTAAGCCACCCAGGCGCCCCTAGAGGTTTTTAACTATTGATGAATATTAGATTTATAGGTTATTTATGAAATGGTCTCTATTATACTATGAAATTTATAAGCTTTATAAAGAAATTAAAATAATATGTAAAGCAAATTATTACAGTGCTTTTTGTCATTTTATACAAGGTAAAATAATTAAAACATAGACATATAAAATAACAATGATAATTAATGAACTAGGGTTAGTTCTGTAGAAGTACAAGGTTTTGTGTCATTTACATCTTCTTTGTCACTCAAAAAGTGTAAAATACTTGCAGTTCATACCAACCACTAAGAAAATTCTTTGGGGCTTTGAAAGCAGCCGAAATTGTCCTCAGAAATTCATGCAAAAGAACACAATTCACTATTATTTTTATATCAGTTGTAAATAGTTTATATATGAAATGCATTTCATATATGATAGTTAAGATAGATACAGAATGCACCCAGAATACTTTAGTTATCTCACAGTATATCCTCAAAAGAAAATAAAAACCAAGGTATTGATATAACCTTCCCACCTTGAATCTGATCATCAGGCTCCAAATGTACACGGGGTTAATGTGTCCACTTCTTCTCTCTCAACCTCCCTATTTATAGACTTCAAAAATTGCCATGACTGGTATAAGAAGAAAATGTCAAAAGGTTATATAAAACACTGCAGAGAAAACATTTTTAATGAGTCTTCCAGAACCCTGAACTAAGAAAGATCAGAAATAAAGTTATTATAATAAAACCAGATAATGAAACAAGTATTCAAGACATGTTTTCTAGTATTATTTCTACCTATCTATATTGCATAATTAGTGGTAGGCAAGTTAGGTTATAAACTGTGAGAAAAACAACATATTTTTCCAACTCTGGCTCTTTGCTCTGCTGCAGGCAGCTGGGAATGTTTTCCAGAAATAGAAGATGGCTGTAACAAACAATAAAATATAGGCAGTGAGAGCCACAATGATCTCTTTATCACATCTGTCATCACTGCACATACTGACGGATTTATCAGAATGCTATGTGAGTCTGAAAGCTATGTGTCACAATCTGTGGGTATGCCTGGTCCTGAAGGATTTATTGCTTCATTAGGAACCAAGGGAAGAATTTAAATTAAATAAAAAAATTAAAATAATGAATTTATATTCCCTAATAACCTGGAATGAGGTTTTGAATGCTATAATAAACATGTGCTTCAATTACACATATTTTGTTTTGCCTTTAGCCATTGCTATTTTAAAAATATGTTACTTCTTAGTTTCTTATAAATCATGAACACAAAGGGTTGGCTTTTGCTGGTTAAAGTTTGATGGTGTTGGAAGACTCCAAAACCAAAATGATAAAACTGGCTGGAGGTTCTTATCAAGTCAGTCAGAAAGTTAACCTCTTGTTTACATTGCTCAAGCCTGAGGTCTTATCCTATCATATGGATTCATTGTACAACCTTATGAGTGTGTCAAGAAGGATGCTAAAAAGATCAGACAACCTGAGTTTCATTCAGCTCTTACAAATTGTGCGACTTTAGGGAATCATCATATCTTACCTCAGGATGTTGTAAAATTAGAAGAAATAAAATATTATAAATCTTTTGTGAAGTAGAAAATGATATTCTGGATCAAGAAGATGTGGTTTATCTATACCATGGAATACTACATGGCAGTGAGAAACAATGAAATCTGGCCATGTGTAGCAACATGGATGGACCTTGAGGGTGTAATGCTGAGCGAAATAAGTCAGGCAGAGAAGGACAAATATCATATGTTTGCATGTATAGGAGGATTAGAAGGAACTTGACGGAGGAACAAGGGGGAGAAGAAGGGCGGAAATGGTGGGGGAAAGGGAGAGAGGCAAACCGTGAGAGACTCTTGAATGCTGACAAAAAAAGAGGAAAGAAGGAAGAGGGGGGGAGGGGGGATGGGCATGGAGGAGGGCACTTTGGGGATGAGCACTAAGTGTTATGTGGAAACTAATTTGACAATAAACTATTTGTAAAAAAAAAAAGAAAATGATATTCATTCATTTATGATTGGACTAGAGTCATTCATTAGACTGGAGTCAGAGCACTAGAGCTCTAGATCTAATACCTTGTGTTCAATAAATTCTTCCAGTTTTGTGGGATTACCTGAATTTGTTTTTTTGTAGCATAAAACTGCTTTGTTAAAGATCAGCTAATAATATCTTTTATTTTTGAAGATCATGCCTGTATGATCTTTGATTATTCACATAACCTCTCTGAAATATTAGTTTACTCTATAGCAACAGAAAGGAATCAGAGTAGATGGTTATTAGTGTTCAGTCCTACAGTGTTTTACCACAGTCACACTTCTTTGTGTTGAAATCTGGGACAGCAGGCACAGAAAAGACCTTAGGACTCAACATTTCTTGTTTGCTGGCTGAATGGAACTGAGATCATCTCCATCACTGGCTTTGCTGTCCAGTTTATCTTCATATTACGGATTTTGTTACGAAGTACTTTCTATTTTGGTCATCAGGATTCTTGCTAGTTTTGGCCTGAGGCTTGCAGAGTTACGAGTAAGTATTTCATCAGTTTAAACTAATACCTAAATTAACACTTTCTTTTTTTCCTCTGTTTTCATGAAAGACGCGTCACAGAAACTACATAGTAATATCACAGAAACATAACATCACCATTTCAAAATTCAGAACCACAGTTCAGAACCACAGTAATCTATCCAAAAGGTTAAAATTAAAAAGTTTACAAATGCCATTTTGCATCTGAAACGACTTGCTTCTTGAGCAATCACAATTCTATTTACTGTTAATACTGTTGCTCATGCTTTTTATAATACTTTATAATTTTGAGAGATTAAGCCAATCTATGTTAAATGATCTAAAAAGCAGTAACAGTAAGAACACTTTAAGTATAGATAAATGTGCATAGAAAATCATAATTTATTTTTTAGAAAGGCCATAGAGGATTCTTTGTCAATATTTTAAATTTTAAATATTTTAAAGCAGAACTTTCTGCTTCTTTTGTGATTTGGAATCATGTTAAATCAAGTATCCCTTTTACTCTTTTTCAATCAACTTGTATTAGTTAGGGTTCTCCAGAAAAAGAGAACTGTAGATTTATAGATACATATTTAGGTTGGTGTGCGTGTGTGTGTGTGTGTGTGTGTGTGTTTTGTTTGTTTTGTTTTGGTTTGTTTTGTTTTGGTTTTTTAAGGAATGGGCTCATGAAAGTGTGCAGGCTGGCAAATCCAAGATCTGTAGGGTAGGCCAGGGGGCTGGAGAATAAGATTTGCAATTTCAGTCAGAATGCAGTCTCCTGGCAGAATTCTCTCTTTTTCTGGGGAGGTCAGTTTTTTTTTCTAGTAAGGTATTCAGCTGATTGGATGAGTCCCACTCATGTTATGGAGGGCAATCTGATTTGAATGTTAATCTTATCTAAAAAAATGTCTTTATAGGGACATCTAGAATTGTTTGATCAAGTATCCTGGTACCATGGCCTAAATAAGTTGATACAAAAGTAAACCATCACACAGCTCTACTGGTGTACTTTATTGTTTTCTCTAGGATATTGTTTTTAGTCTCCCCTGGCTATCTTTAAGACTAACCTACCACATAAGGAATAAGGACTTCTAAATGTTTATCTTCAGTTCTTATCTTTTACCATACTTTCAACTGTTTTCCTGAGTATCTTCCCTTGGGTTCCCCTCAGGTACTTTCATTCCAACATATTTAAAACAGAAACTCATTATCTTTCCTCCTTATCTACTGCTTTCTTTATTAATGACAAGATTATTCAGTCTAGAAATCTTGGAATCATCTTTGAATTATCCCTTTTGTCCTTTCCTGTAATGAAATTCCAATTCACTCACTTTCTCAAAAGTATTTATTAAATGCCTGCTAGATGTCCAATAATGTGCTAGACAGTGTAAAAAATAGAGTGATGAAGCAGACAATAAACAAATAATCCCCCCAATAATTCTAATTGTGATAAACTCTATGAAGAAAAAGCACAGGATGCTAGGAGATTGTGTAACTGAGGGACTTCCTACAGTACGAGAGGGACAGGCAAGGCTGGCATAAGGATACATTAGTAAGCAGGCAAAACTGAGAAGTAAGAAGAACGGTATTCCAGGTGGAAGAAACAGCGACTGCCAACACTCTGATGTAGGATAAAATGAGAAGTGATAGGATGCTTGAGTATTTACTCTGAGCCAGGAACTTTTATTCTCATAGTGATTCTATGACGTAGATATTACGATGTAGATATTACATTAAAAAAAATCCTTGTTTTAACTGAAGAAACTGAGGCTCAGAAAGATTAAATAAGAGGTTTAGGTTTATACAAGATAAAATGGCAGAGTGATGAGGATTCCATTCCATTCTCTACAGGAGATTCAGAGAGCCACTGCTTCTAATCATCCCATTATTGTCCTATCAGCAAGACAAAGAGACACCCATTATTAGTATATCCTCGTAAAGCAGTGTACAATATTCTGATTTTGCTAGACCAAGAATATATTCTCCAGTTTTTGGTTCACATGATCTCAATCACTTTGGAATAATTCACATTAAAGTAACACTAGACATTGATTAAATGTTTCATTTTCTTTTCTGCTCTTGATTAATCTCAGCATTAGTTTATTGCTTTCTTTACTAACAGTAAAAATGACTTTTTTTAACATACCAAAATATTTGCTTTAGTTTCATGCAAATGAAGTGATTATGAATTTCAGATTGGCTAGATTTCAGAATAATTTACTACAACTTTTTCCCCCTTGCAGGAAGAAACAACATTCTAATTAAAATATAGTATCTCATTGAAATAGAATAAAATTTAAGTGGCCTCCATGAACATCCCTTTTAATTTACAATTATAAAATTCACCAAAGGAAAAAATAGAATTATCAGAAAGAGAGCATTTTGAAATTAAATAATTTATCATAGATTTCTAATTTTAATATTCACTATGGTAGTATTGGCACCAAGTTAGAAATTTTCAAACATAGTAGAAAACATAAAAGTTCATATAAAGTACACAAAAAGATGAAAAGAGGTAAGAACTATTGGTGATTCTCTTACGGTGACTTTTCAATTTATTACACTGCAGCTTCTGGCCCCACAACTTCATTGAAATTGTTTTTTGTCTAGGGCCCCAGTGAACTCTAGGTTGTTGAAAAAATTAGAAACTTTCAGTAACATGAGATACGGAAGACCCCTCTTCATTCTTTTCTTAGTTGTGAGGACATCAACCATTTGTGGTTTTATTTTTGCTTCTTCTATTGACTCTTTAGGCCTGTTCTTTGTTGGCGCTCCTTACTAGACCCCCAAATGTGGTTCCTCTTCATGAATAACATGTCCTTCCTAGGTGATCGCATTAATCACCATTACTTTAAATATTATCTATGTGCCTAAGGTTTCCAGAATATCTTTCCAATGCAAATCTTTCTTCAGAGCTCCAATATTCTTTATTTAATAGCTTCCTCAATAATTCCATTTAGATTTCTCTTAAATATTTGAAATCTAACATGTCTAAAACACCCAAATCTGTTCTTTATCTTCTCATTTCAATTACCGTCTATCCAAAAAAAAAAAAAAAACCCCAAAAAAACACCAAAACCAAAAAAACATCTTTGATTGAGCTCTTCCCTTTCCAGTGAGTTCTTTTAATCTTATCTTTGACGTGTAATAAATATTACACTTCATTTCATTGCTACCACTCTCATAAAAGCCACCATCAGCTTTTGTCTGGATTCCTTCAGTAGCCTTGTAGCTGGTCTCTATTTTTATTCTTGCTTTTAGTCTGTTCTCCATACAAGGATCATTTAGTAAAGGTCATCATTTAATGTCTCTGCTCAAAATTCTTTTTATTATACTTAGAATAGAATCAAATGTTACCATAGCTTCATAGGCCCTGTGACATCTCACCCTGTCTACCTGTCCCTATTATCTTGTGAACTTCTCTTCCTTGCTCACTCTACTACAACACTGCTGACTAGCTTTCGTTTGACTCCTCAAATATGACATAGTCATTTCTGCTTCATTTCTGTTTCTCAAACATTCAAGGTTTTCAGAGCTT